GACCAACCCGGGCAACAGAGTGAGACTCCATCTCTATTAAAAATAAAATTTTTTTAAAAAGTGAAAGTGGAAAAAAGATGTTTTTCTATTTTTAATTTTTTTATTAATTTAATTTTTACATCTGGGATGCATACTGGACTCACAATATTTCTAAATTATTTAAGTATATATTTGACTGTATCATCTATCTGGGAGACTGATGGTTTCTGATCCAGTATCAATTCTTTCTTCCTTAAGGAATCCCAATTTTATTTGGGACAGCAATATGCTCAGCTTCGTCTGCATTTCCAGCCTCCCTGGGATGCGGGAGGCCTAAATTAATTCTATTCATATGCCTAAGTTCTGTTCATGAGATAAAAGCAGAAGTGTTGTGCAGGCTTCCAGGAAAGCTCTGTAAATTAAGGAGCTTCCTTGCAGTTGTTTATGTGGAAAATTCTCCTTATCATCCCTAGTCCCATGGTAAAGATGTCAACAGTATATATTGAGCCCAGAGCTCTCTCTCGACATCCAAAGTTAAACATTATATTCAACTATCCAGAATACTGCCACTTGTACATACCTCAAATTCAGCATACCTAAAACTGAACTCATTTTCCTTGTAATTCTTCTGTTTCCTGCACATTTAAAGGCATCATCAGCCACTCCAGTCAACCAAGACAGAAACGTGGGAGTCATCCTAAATGTGCCCCTCTCTCCTTTACTCTCAATATCTTACCATTCCTTAAGCCTTTCTCCTAAATCTCTCTCTAGGCCATACTCGTACTCAAGCAACATCATCATATAACTGTCTAGAGGACAACAGTTTCCAATTTGGTGTCACTACTTCCTGACTAATTCCTAACAACCCACTCTCCACACTTCTGCCAAGGTGAACTCAATATTCTAAAATTTAATGTCCTGCTTAAAATCTTCTCCTTGTTAGATAAAGCCCAAATTTCTCTGCATGGCATTGAAGGTCTTCTAAAATATTATCCCACACATCTCCCCAACATTTTCCTGCCACTTTATCTACCTGACAAATTCCTACTCATCTTTCAGGCCCCACCTCAAGTGTCTTGTCTTTTGTAAATGCTCTTCTGCCACCTCACTCAAAAACGATCATTTCTCTTTTCTGCCATCTAAGTACCTTATGCCTCTGGTATGTATTTTATCACTTCTCTCTCTGCAATACAATTTTTGTTATTTCCCTCACTCTAACTGTGTTTATTCCTCTATACAGACCTAGGAACTAAAGAAATGTCTGCCAGATAAATGTTTCCTTCCATGCATTTATCATCTCACAAATACATATCTAGAACATAATTTGTTTTCGAATTGAAAGGGAAAATTCAAAATCTGGAATTCTAGTTTAAATACCCTCTGTTAGTTATGAGTTTTGGAGTAGAAACAGCATGGTATCTAGAGTCAAAACGGCTGGGTTTTGCCCTTTGCTGGATGTTTTTGCATACATTACTTAACCTTTCTGAATTTTAAGCTATAAAATGGGAGTCAGAACACCACACTTACCAGATTGTTGTAAAGATTAATGATAAATGTAATATAAAAAATGCTGAGGCCAGGTGCAGTGGCTCACGCCTGTAATCCCAGCACTCTGGAGGCTGAGGCGGGCGGATCATGAGGTCAAGAGATGGAGAACATCCTGGCCAACATGGTGAAACCCTGTCTCTACTAAAAATACAAAAATTGGCTGGGTGTGGTGGCTCATGCCTGTAGTCCCAGATACTCGGGAGGCTGAGGCAGGAGAACTGCTTGAACCTGGGAGGCAGAGGTTGCAGTGAGCTGAGATCACACCACTGCACTCCAGCCTGGCAACAGAGTGAGACTCAGTCAACAACAACAAAAAAAAAGTGCTGATAGCTGAATCCGTGCATGCTGGAGTCACTACTGCTATGGAAAAACATAAAGTAATATAGAATTTTATTTTTTTAAGACAGGGTCTCTCACTTTGTTACCCAGGCTAGAGCACAGCGGCGTGATCACAGCTCAGGTAATCCTTCCACCTCAGACCCCCAACTAGCTAGGACAACAGGTATATGCCACCATGCCCAGCTAATTAAAAATTCTTAAAAAAATAGAGACAGGGTCTCACTATGTTGCCCAGGCTGGTCTCAAACTCCTGGGCTCAAATTATCCTCCTGTCTCAGCCTCCCAAAGGGCTGGGATTACAGTTGTGAGCCACCATGCCCTGGCTCAGACCTTTTTTTTTGGGTAACATTTCTAGCTACCCCAACTATACATGCTGTGTAAGCTAGGATCAGGTCTCTTCATCTTTTTAATACTCTCTAGAGGGACACAGTAAATATTCAACATATTTATTGAATAAATGAATTATATTAAACTTTTTATAGTACTCGAAAATTCAGTGACCTCAAATCCTGATCTTTTAAAAAAATTGGGCCGGGCACAGTGGCTCATTCCTGTAATCCCAGCACTTTGGAAGGCCAAGGCAGGCAGACTGCCTGAGGTCGGGAGTTCAAGACCAGCCTGGCCAGCATGGTGAAACCCTCCCTCTACTAAAAGTACAAAAATTAGCTGGGCACGGTGGCAGGCGCCTGTAATCCCAGCTATTTGGAAAGCTGAGGCAGGAGAATCGCTTGAACCTGGGAGGTGAGGGTTGCAGTGAGCTCTAGCCTGGGCAACAGAACAAGACTCTGTCTCAAAAAAAAAAAAAAAAAAAAAAAGAAATATATATATATATATATATATATATATATAGAGAGAGAGAGAGAGAGAGAGAGAGACAGAGACAAATAGTACTGGTACAAATGAAAAATAAAAACGAGATAATAATCTAACCATGAATATTTGAGAAATGTTTTTCATGTCATTAACAGTAGCATTATAATATAATGGCACTGTACCACTATCTTAGGGAAAGGGAGATAGACATTTAACCAATTTACTCTCTGCTATGGGTTGTGTGCCCCCAAAATTTACATCCTTCCTGAAATGTCAGAAAGTGATCATAGTTGGAATTAGGGTTGTTGCTGATGTAATTAAGACTAGGTTATGCTGGACCCTTAATTCAATATGACTGATGTCTCTCTATAAGAAGAAAAGAGATGCAGACACATGAAGGGAAAGGGCTATGGGACTGACAGGCAGAGAAGAAAGTGCCGCAGCTGCAAGCCAAAGGATGCCAACAGTGGCTGGCAACTGCCAGAAGCCCCGAAGAGGCAAGGATGGATTCTCCCCTACAGGTTTCAGAGGAATGATGGCCCTGACAACACCTTGATTTAAGACTTCTCACCTCCAGACCTATGACACAATTCTACCTCATGTTCTCTTTTCTCATTCCCTCTTATTTTCTTTACTGCACTTATCACTATATGAAATAATCAGATTTTTTCCCCATTTATTGCAATCTTGCCAAGGCCTGTACAATCTTTGAAAGCTGAGCTCTTGTCTTGTTCCTCCTTGTATCCCCAGCACTGGAAGGAATTCCTAGTACATGATAAGCCTTCAGGAAGTGTTTGTTCTGCCTAACTATAAACTATAGTCAATGCATGAAGGACATGAATGGCAGAGAATGAAGATATTTTCACAAACCATAACATTTTCCATTTAATTGAGGATTAAAAAAAATAGGATTGAAAATAATGAACTAAATTTTAACAAACACACCAAAACTTAAACTTTCAAGTGAGTTTTACCTCTCTCAAAACAGTCATCGCAGCCGGGCATGTTGGCTCACACCTGTAATCCCAGCACTTTGGGAGGCCAAGGTGGGCTGATCACGAGGTCAGGAGTTCAAGATCAGCCTGACCAACGTGGTGAAACTCTGTCTGTACTAAAAATACAAAAATTAGCTGCGCATAGTGAGCCTGTAGTCCCAGCTACTCAGGAGGCTGAGGAAGGAGAATCACTTGAACCCAGGAGGCGCAGGTTGCAGTGAGCTGAGATAGTGCAACTGAACTCTAGCCCAGGCAACAAAGCAAGACTGTCTCAAAAAAAAAAAAGGTCATCTCTAGCAGTCAAAAGACTTATTCAAGCCACTGTGCTACTGCTTAAAACTTTTTTTGGAGGAATTCCTCATTTGGAATTGCTGGTAGAGCTTGAAGCCCATTTCTCAGAGTGGGTGTGATTTTGAGAAAAAAACCAAAAGTAATTTGGAGCTAGTAAATTGTGATAAAGCTGTGTGATAATATATAAAAATACTTTAAAATGAGGTGTGCCTATTTAAAAAGAGAGGCTAGGGTGGTGGCTCATACATGTAATCCTAGCACTTTCAGCGAATTGCTTGAGCCCAGGGATTCAAGACTAACCTGGGCAACATCGTGAGACCCCACCTTGAAAAAAAATTTTTTTTAATTAGCTGGGCATGGTGGTCTGCACCTGTAGTCCCCTGTACTCAGGAAGTTGAGGTGGGAAGATCACTTGGGCCCGGGAGGTCGAGGCTGCAGTGAGCTGAGATGGTGCCACTGCACTTCACTCACTCAATCTGAGTGACAGAGAAAGACCTTGTTTCAAAAAATAAATAAAATAAAATAAAGAACAAAAATAAAAAAGAGAGAAACTAATCTCGAGAAAGTGCGATTTTCCAGAACCGCAAAGTTCTCTGAGGCAAGATACAAGACACTGAAAGGAGAAAGAAAGAATAAATAAAATAAAAAAATTTACAACGGGTGAGCCATCCTGGTCAACATGGTGAAACCCCGTCTCTACTAAAAATACAAAAAATTAGCTGGGCACGGTGGTGCGTGCCTGTAATCCCAGCTACTCGGGAGGCTGAGGCAGGAGAATTGCCTGAACCCAGGAGGCGGAGGTTGCGGTGAGCCGAGATCGCGCCATTGCACTCCAGCCTGGGTAACAAGAGCGAGACTCCGTCTCAAAAAACAAAAACAAAAACAAAAAAAAAATCATTTGCACCTTTTATTATTCCCAAAAGCCAAGAAAACGACGTCACGAAGGAATGCTGTGTTCACAAGAATCCATGCCAACGTGGGGCGGGGGGAGTTTAAATCGGCAGAGACCCAAGGAACTCTCTCCCCCATACTAACCATAACAAAATCATCCTTCCGATAGGCCTGAAATGTCTGGTCAAAGCTGAACGCCTGCGCCTTGATTCTGCCCAGCATGGACCTGGGGCAGAGGAGGAAAAAGAAGTCATGTTGGGGCTGGTGCCCTCTCAGAGCGCACCATTAACCAATCCCACCCGCAGTATCCGCCCTGCCCCGTGGCTCAGGGTTCACTCAGGAAACTCCGGTCCACTCAGAATGGCGCCGAGCCGCGTGGGTTCGCTCGACGCCCACCCCGCGTCTCCACAGCCGCGAAGACAAAGGGGGCTTTTCTCTCCCTGCGCCTCGAATCCTCACCACTGGCGGAGCCGGCTGGTGATCTCCTGAGAGCTCAGAGACTGGAAGGTTTTCTGAGGCAGAAACCTGAAATAGTAGCCGCCCAAGTCCCCGAACTCCCCAGCAGCCATCGTGCCCTCCGCTGCGTGGAAGCAGGGCTTGTTTCCATAGAGACGCGGCGGCCGTTGGGTCGGCGTGACGTTGCGGGGGCGGGGCCACGCGTCTCTAGGGACCGATGGGTTCCCTCCTCTCCGCAGCGGGTGCAGAGAGAGAGAGAGGTTTGCCTGTCTTTCCCAAGAGCTTGTGCCACCCCCACTCCCCCACCCCGGGCTTGGCGGTTAGGGAAAGTAGGGGTTGGGGATGGAGACAAATTGCCAGTCGATACTTGTTGACATTAACTTTTATTAATAATTACTCACCATGGGTTAATGTCCTAGTCTCAACAGCTATAACTTCAGATTTACAGTTATCTAAGTTTGATGACTCAAACGTTTCTGAAGAAAAGATTATTCTGAATTAATTAGGTTGATCTATTTTGGAAAACAAATGTCTGCGTGGCTACTTAGGAAACTATTCTTTTTTACCATCTTTTTTTTTTAATGTACATTTGAAGGCTAAAAAAAATGTTTTCATACACGGTATATTATAACATGCTCTTTATTTTTATTTTTTAGACGATTCTTGTTCCGGTACAACATGTTGTTTATTTTTATTTTTTAGACCATTTTTGTTCCGGTACAACATGCTGTTTAATAGAAAACACACTTTTCTTATTTTCTATTGAAAATTGCCTTTGTTTCTACAGTTTTTTTGTTTTTTTTTTTTTTGATGGAGTCTCACTTTTTCGCTCAGGCTGGAATGCAGTGGCGCGATCTCGGCTCACTGCAACCTCCGCCTCCCGAGTTCAAGTGATTCTCCTGCCTCAGCCTCCTGAGTATCTGGGACTACAGGCTAAGTTTTGGTATTTTTAGTAGACATGGGTTTCCCCATGTTGGCCAGGTTGGTCTTGAACTCCTGAGCTGGAGTGATCCGCCCACCTCGGCTTCCCAAAATGTCGGAATTACAGGCGTGAACCACTGCACCCCACCTGTTTCTATAGTTTTTATTTTTGCTTCATAGCAGTGCATTTGGACTTCAGAATGGGGAGACAGTTCTTTTCCATCTCGTTGCTTTCTTTCCTTTTCCCCTAGCCCTTAAGAAATTACCTTGATTATTTTTTAGCAGCAGCTGCACAGCAGAAGAAGAAACAGGGAGCAAGTACAAAAAAGAAAAAAAAAAAAAAAGAAAAGAAACAGAGAGAGAGAGAAATCATTCTTTTTTCACTGATGTTTAGTATTCTATTACTTGACCATACTACAATTTATCCTTCTGGGCTGTTTCCAGTTTGAGGTTATTATGCTGTGAACATTGCTGTGTATGCCTTTGGATGGACATATGCACCATTTCTGTTGGAAATATATCCAGGATTGGAATTGCTCAGTTATATGGTGTAAGTATGTCTAGTTTTACTACATACTATCAAAACTTTTTCTAAAGATTAGTTTACATTTCAACCAGCAATGCATGAGATTTTTCGGTTGCTCAAGATCCTTGCCAACACATAGTATTGCCAGTCTTTTAAAATTTTAGCCATTCTGGGGAGGTTGTATTAGTTTTTTATTGTGATTTTAATTTGTATTTCCTTGACAGTTAATGTTGCTGAGCAACTTTGTAATATGCTGGGCCATTTGGATATCTTCTTTAGAAAAGTGCCCATTTGAGTGTTTTATCCATTATGAGGAAGAAGGATTGTCAGTCTTTTTCTTACTAATATTTAGGAACTTTTTATATAATATGAATATGAGCCCATTGCCAGATATACATATAGCGAACATACTCTTTGCTTATAGCTTGCTTGTGGCTTTGATGGTCAGAAATTCTTAATTTTAATGAAGTTGAATTTATTAATTTTCTCTTTTACGTGTCAGGTTTGATTTCTGCCTAAACAAAGTCATGAAGATAGTCTCACATTTATGTCCATAATCCATCTCAAAATAATTTTTTAAGCTGAAAGTTAAATCTTTCTCTACAGTTTTTCAATAGACCCAGCTCTATATTGGTAAGACCATGTCTAATCCAGCTAATTACTGTGGAACTTAAAAAAAAAAAATCAAGTGACTGTTTGGTCCTTCTATTCTGTTTATTGGACTGTCCTTACACAAATGCCACATTGTGTTAATTACTGTACGATTATAAAAAAGACATAATATCTGGTGGTATATGTTGTCTAGCTTTGTTATTCTTTTTCTTCAAGATTGCACAGGCTATCCAGCTCCAAGCCTGCACATAAAAGAAAAAAAAAGATTGCATAGGCTGTTTGCATAGCCTCTTTGTTTCTGTATAAATTTCAAATTGGGTTTATCATTTTCTATCAAAGAAATCTGATGGGATTTTGATTGGGATTGCATTGACTATCTAGATGAATTTAGGGAGAATTAACCTTGTAACAATATTGTCTTCCAAACTGTGATAAATATCTATTTATTTAGATCTTTAATTTCTGTCAACTATGTTTTATAGTATTGAATGGAGAGTCTTGATAATCTTTCATTAGATCAATGGTTCTCAATCACAGTTAATTTTGCTTCCCTTGGGGACATTTAACAATGTCTGTAGATATTTTTAGTTGTCCCAGCTGAGGTGGTGAGGGCTGTTGGCATCTAGTGGATAGAGATCAGCTATCCTGCTAAACATCCTGCAACGTACAGAATAGGCCCACACAACAAAGACTGATCTGGCTCAAAGTGTTGATAGTAACAAGGTTGCAAAACCCCATGTTAGGCCGGAAGTAGTAGCTCATGTCTGTAATCCCAGCACATTGGGAGGCTGAGGCAGGCGGATCACTTGAGGCCAGGAATCCAGACCAGTCTGGACAACATGGTGAAACCCTGTCTCTACTGGAAATACAAAAAAATTAGTTGGGTGTGGTGGCACACGCCCGTAATTCCAGCTACGAGGGAGGCTGAGGCATGAGAAATGAGAATCACTTGAACCTGGGAGTTGGGGGTTCCAGTGAGCCTAGATCACACCACTGCACTCCAGCCTGGGTGATGAAGTAAAACTCTGTCTCAAAAAAGAAAGAAAGAAAGAGAGAAAGAGAGAGAGAGAAAGAAAGAAGGAGAAAGAAATTGCATTTTTTGGTGCCATTATAAGTGAAACTTTAAATATTTATTTTTTCCTATTTGTATTATATAGTTACACAATGTATTTCGTATATTGATCTTGTATCCAGAGACTTTGCTAAATTATCTTTTTATTTCTCATGGATTGTTAGTAGATTTTTTTTTGGAGTTTCTATATACATAATTGTGGTATCTGGTTATAAGAAGAGCTTTATTTCATTTTGGTTAATATTTGTGCCTCCCACCCAGCTGCCCCCAATTACTTTGGTGCACTGGCTATGATGTCCAGGATAATGTTAAAAAAGAAGTGGTAATAGAGGACGTTCTCACTTTGTTAATAACATCATAGCAAAAAATGTTCAGTTTTGGGTTATTAATGTTTATTTTTTGATTAAAATTTTTAATCATTACATAGGGTATAAAATATAGGTGTTTTAGTTGATACCTGTTAGCAAATTGAGAAAAATTTGCTTCAATTTTTTTTAGATTTAAAAAATTATGTAAAAGAGTTAAAGTTTTTTTCCACATTTACTAAATTGACCATATGTTTTTTCTTCTTTATTCTGTTAATGTAGTAAATTAAGTTTTGTTTTGTTTTATTTACTTTTAAGCCAACTTTGTATTTATAGAATAAGCCCCACTTTGTTATATTTTTCTTTTTATAAAGCACAGTATTAAATGTGATATCTTGTTTAAATGTTTGATTCTATGTTCATGAGCGATATTGGTTTGTGATTTTCCTTACCTGTTACATGCTTGTCAAGTTTTGCTATTCATGTTTTTCTGACCTCCTAAAATGAGTTGAAAAGTTTTTCTAATTTTTTACTGCTAAACTTTTTTTTTTTAGATGGAGTCTTGCTCTGTCACCCAGATTGGAGTGCAGTGGCACAAACAAGGCCCACTGCAGACCCAACCTCCCCAGGCTCAGAGGATCCTCCTACTTTAGCCTCCTGAGTAGCTGGGACTACAGGTGTGTACCACCATGCCTGGCTAATTTTTGTCTTTTTTTGGTAGAGACACGGTTTTGTCATGTTGCCCAAGCCAGTCTCCAACTCCTGGGCTCAAGTGATCCTTCTGCCTTGGCAACCCAAAGTGCTAGGATTACTGGTGTGAGCCACTGTGCCTGGCCTAAAAAAACCAATTTCCATAGAACCTAAGCACATAGTATTTAGTTAATTTTTTCTAAAATTTTCCAACTTTATGAAAATGTAATTGACATACAATTAACTGCACACATTTTAGAGTACAGTGTGATGAAGTTTGACGAATGTGATCTTTGCATTTTTAAAAAACAAAACAAAAACATAGAATTATTTTCATTTTGGGTGTCAGATTCTAATTTAACTTTAGGAATTTTTTGCCTCTTTTTTTACATTACACAAAAGTAACTTTTGGCTGGGCGTGGTGGCTCACATCTGTAATCCTAGCACTTTGGGAGGCTGAGGTGAGTGGATCACTTGAAGTCAGGAGTTCAAGACCAGCCTGGCCAACATAATGAAGCCTCATCTTTACTAAAAATACAAAAATTACCCGGGCATGGTGGCAGGCACCTGTCATCCCAGTTACTCAGGAGGCTGAGGCAGGAGAATTGCTTGAATCCAGGAGTTGGAGGTTGCAGTGAGCCGAGATGAGCCACTGCACTCCTGCTGGGGTGACAAAGTGAGACTCCATCTAAAAAAACAAATAAAAAACTTGAATAACTTTTATTATGTTGTGATTAGATTTCAAGTGTATAGTTTTAAGTGAAACTGGAAATTTTTACTGGAAATTGATAGTTTTCTAGGTGTTGGTTTTTATTCAAATATGCATGACTGGCATATGTTCTAGATAACCTTTATTAATTCAGTCTTGACACTGTATTCTTGTTTTTTAGTACCTTCCAATTATCTTTATAGTTTAAAAGAAAGCTTGTATAAGTAACACATGTTTAAGATAGAAAACAAGCAAAAGAGTAAAAATTGCCTCTTATCCCAGACAGAATTTTACAAAGTGTGGCATTTTATAAAGCATATATTCTTCTGGACTTTTT